TTATATCCACATTCTACCATTTACATTGATGTTGAACAAGTTATTTAAACACTTTTCATGACTGTTTCACCATCTGTTATATGGCCTTCATTAGGCAATTTTATTATCAGATTGTCCTGAAAATCACACTCTAATACTTGTACAATTCTTAGCACACTGCCTGCAAAGAGTAGTAACTCAGTAAATGTTGATGATAAGAATATATATGGCAACTATCTTCACAGAGCTTAGAATAGAATGTATGAACAAGGCAGAGAATAAATATGTGTGTGTGTGTGTGTGCATGCGTGTGTGTGTTACCAACTGTAAGTGCAACAGGTTTTAAGAATGGGCAAACACTTTGTAATTTATAAGAACCCACAAAAGCTTCTTTGCCAGAATAAGTATTCTTTTGCTAAGTGTTGTGGAGCTGCAACCGTAAAAGACAGAAGTAGGGGAAAGAAGCAGCTTTCAGATGACAAAGAAGTAACTGAAATATGAGTGACAACATTGTGTTCCTTACATTGTCCCCTGATGAAGCCCTTTACAGTTTTATAGCTAATACGAAAGTGGCTATTGTATTGACACTAAAAATTCTGAAATCGATGGAGAAACTGCATCAGAAGAAATTAGTGAGCTGGTGAGTCTGATTTAGATACAGTTTGATACTTTTTTGAATGTTTTTGACATATGACCTCATTAGTCTTGCACACCTTTTTTTTTTTAAACCTTTTGACAAGCAAACAGCACAAAACATTTTGGTGAACACTACCTTTGTTCTACTTAGATATGAGCTCAAATATAATTCTTAGCAGGTAGGAATTACCTTTTATGGTATGACTGATGACTAAACATCATGATTACTTGAAAACATGCTGAGTAAAAACATTCAAATGATTGATTGAATTAATAAATAAGGGAATGAGTGAGCTCAGAATATAATTAGGTCTAAGATTCATCAAGAAGGGACACTTGTGAGGCTAGCTCATGTTTGACAAATGCTTGTGATAAGAATTTACTTTTTCTCCTGAAACTTCATCTTTCCTGTTCAGACAGTAAACTAAGCTGCTTGTCAGTTGGAGAGAGGTATTGGGTAATGTTGTGTTTTATATCTAATATTTAGATGCCTCCTCAAGCTACTTTTAAGCACTTAGAAATTCTTTTACAAAATACATATATTTTATTCTGTATCATCATTTTAATTTTGATCTACAACTATTATAAAGTAGGGATACTTTATGATATTTTATAAGCATTTAATATTAAGGGGTGTGCAGCTTTATTTCTAAATCACTTATAAAGTATGTTTTTTTACTAGAAAAAGATTATAGATGAATTTTGTAAATGTATCTCTTACAAGATATCACTTCATTAAAATATATTATTTAAAATAAGATTACTTGTTAAAATTAGAGCTCCTGTTATTTATGACATTGTAGAAATTATCAATGCCTTCCCAAAAAACAAAATACCAACACCTCTTAGTGGCTACCTTTAATTAATTACAGTAGTGATTAAATGCCTTAATGTAGTTATTTCAACCTATGTGTATAATTATCTGCCATGCATGCAAGTTGTGATTCATAGTCTATGTTCAAATTTAAATTTTCACCTTTTAGGCAAACACATTTATAAAATGTAATAATCAGTTAGCCCATTTGTTATTTATCCAGCCACACATAGAAAATGCTATATATAGCATAAATGATACTGAGAAGAAATTATTAGTCCAAGAGATTGATAAATGCCTTTGAATTCATTCTGATAATTTATATGTATCAAAGCATCCTTCACAGTTTTTAAAATAACTTGTTGATAATTCCTTCCTCTGGGCTCTAATACATTGAGGATTATATTTGTGCTTTCATTATTTTATCCTTGGTGTGTGTCAATTAGCTTTATAGTAAGAGCTCAGGAAATAGTATCTTGTACTGGTTTAGGTTGAATTGAATTGAATTGGTTAAGTAATTTTAAGAAAGGGAATCCACTCCTACATTCAATACTTAATCAAAGCTAATCAATTTATTCTGATTCATTTTCTCACAAAGGCTTTTTGAATTTAGCTATGTGCTTTTGAATGAAAACGCTAATTTCCTAAATCATGTATGTAATATTATTATATTAACATATGCAAATGCACATATGTATGTATATATGTAATTGTGTACAATATTTTATATATGTGTATGTGTATGTATAATATATGTGTGTGATATATGTAAAACATGTATATATAAAAACACATACATACATATATGTATAATTTATTCAGATGAGTTTTACCATATTAGGGACAGAATTCTATTCTTTTCAAATCATCATGTATAATTTTCACTGATTTTGTTTCCCCCAACCCTGTTCTTTTTATAGAGCTATCTTTCATGGGGTCCTTTTTAGTTTTATTTTGTTTGGTATTAAGTACAATATGTGGTATTTTATTCTTCAGTTCTTTTTCTAAAATTATGTGTTATTACCCATATTTTTTCAAAAGATATTGTGGAGTAATTTTAAATAGTCTTAGGCCATAAAGTTTTATTTCAAACTTATATTTAAAGAATAAAAATCACTATACTTGTAGGAAAGAATAGGCTGTACTGACAAATGCATCTCGATGTATTTTAAAAACTATTCATGTAAAAACTTGTAAGTACAGGCAACAGCACTTAGGAAATTTTTTAGTTATAGTATTAACTAAAAACCATTTTTTTCCCCTAGGCTAAATATTAGACTGAGAATTCTGACCTAATGTGCTATGTTTTCCTCAAAGCAGTGCTCCTAGTTTCAGATGAAATACAAATTTACGTTAAGAAAGAAATGTCAAATCAAACCATTTACACATTGGCAGGTCTCATTCAATAGCATGGATGTTAACTGAATCGAAGAGAGTGTCAGCTGTCAAGTCGCCCTGTTATTTTATGTTCACCACTAAAGTAAAAGAAATGCTTTGCTTAACATAAGAAGCAACAATTTATTAATATTTAGAACTTTCATTTTGTAATTATCAACAGCTTTTCTAGACATAAACATAGCTTATCTTACTCCTGAGTATTTTATACAGACACATACACATACTTTGGAAAATGTACATTAAATAAATGGAGTAAGTCATTCTGAAGACTTCTCCCCATCAATATCTGGCCCTTCTCAATCACTTTTTGTCAGAATCCTTGCTGTTCATGTTTCACACGTAAAATTATTCTCTTTACCAGTGAGATGTACCATTTTGTCTGATAATACCATCTAAACTGCTTCACGTACCCTGTAAGTTTTGATGCTGGTTCTCTCTTGACCTCACCTACATAGGTCAACAGAATATTATTCAGATGACAATCAGGGTTCATATTCAAAGTCTTTTTTTTTAAATAGTCCTTATTAAGTACAATATGTGGTATTTTATTCTTCAGTTCTTTTTCTAAAATTATGTGTTATTACCCATATTTTTTCAAAAGATATTGTGGAGTAATTTTAAATAGTCTTAGGCCATAAAGTTTTATTTCAAACTTATATTTAAAGAATAAAAATCACTATACTTGTAGGAAAGAATAGGCTGTACTGACAAATGCATCTCGATGTATTTTAAAAACTATTCATGTAAAAACTTGTAAGTACAGGCAACAGCACTTAGGAAATTTTTTAGTTATAGTATTAACTAAAAACCATTTTTTTCCCCTAGGCTAAATATTAGACTGAGAATTCTGACCTAATGTGCTATGTTTTCCTCAAAGCAGTGCTCCTAGTTTCAGATGAAATACAAATTTACGTTAAGAAAGAAATGTCAAATCAAACCATTTACACATTGGCAGGTCTCATTCAATAGCATGGATGTTAACTGAATCGAAGAGAGTGTCAGCTGTCAAGTCGCCCTGTTATTTTATGTTCACCACTAAAGTAAAAGAAATGCTTTGCTTAACATAAGAAGCAACAATTTATTAATATTTAGAACTTTCATTTTGTAATTATCAACAGCTTTTCTAGACATAAACATAGCTTATCTTACTCCTGAGTATTTTATACAGACACATACACATACTTTGGAAAATGTACATTAAATAAATGGAGTAAGTCATTCTGAAGACTTCTCCCCATCAATATCTGGCCCTTCTCAATCACTTTTTGTCAGAATCCTTGCTGTTCATGTTTCACACGTAAAATTATTCTCTTTACCAGTGAGATGTACCATTTTGTCTGATAATACCATCTAAACTGCTTCACGTACCCTGTAAGTTTTGATGCTGGTTCTCTCTTGACCTCACCTACATAGGTCAACAGAATATTATTCAGATGACAATCAGGGTTCATATTCAAAGTCTTTTTTTTTAAATAGTCCTTAAATTGTTTGATTAAAATGTAAGGTATTGCCATTGTCCAAACAAGCCACAGAAATAATAACCAAATTCAAGCATGCAGAAGCCATGATTAGCTCTACCTATGTCTGCCATCTGAGGAATGGGATGAAGGGACTATCCATACTATAATTTCAAATATGACATTTCTAGTATAATAAGCTATTAAAACAATTGGTGTCTAAGAATCAAAGAAATAAGGTATTAAGGAAAAATCACAGTGGGGTATAAAAAAATAAAATAATTTGAGCTCTAATAAAGGTCATTTATGTGTTTGTGCACACATTGTATTCTAGAAAATAAAAGTCTACCACAGACAAGTCATTTATATAATCCCCAGATTTTTGTTACATAAATGCACCTGCATTTTAAGATATTCAAATATTTTAGCTTATTTCCTGTTGAAAAACTTCCCCATCAAGTATTGAATGATTTTGGTCCTATCAAACTATATGTTAAGCACTTGTAATTTATTATTTTATGTGCTTTCATATATACATATATGACTAAAGATAACCAGATAACTGGAGAGTATTGAAAAGTCTTCATTATATTCAACATGAACTAAATATTTCTTTGATCATTAAAACATGCTTTCTCAACTTTGAAAATTAATAAATATTAAAAAGAATTAATGATGTAGCAACTGAATATTTCCTAATTTCTCCTCTTCCTCAGGTCCCATAAGCAGTGTGTTGGTGAATAAATATGGTAGCCGGCCCGTGGTGATGGCAGGAGGTTTGCTGTGTTGCGTGGGAATGGTCACAGCCTCTTTCAGTACCAGTGTAACAGAGCTTTACCTCACTGTGGGGTTCATTGGAGGTAAGTCAAGCTTTATTTTCAGTTTATTTTCTTCTTAGTTATTCTGTTGTTTGCAAAGCTCTGTGAGAAGCATAAACAACTGAATGTTATTACTGTTTTCTTTGAATGTTCTTTTTATATCAGATGCGCTCTTCAAGTATTTTCACCTAGTACGTTGAAATACTAGCTACAGAATGGCCAAACTCTTCTCAAGAAATGGAGAAAACGAGTTACCCGACATGTCACATGTGATGACATGCATGTCAAAAATAAACCAGCTTTGGTTTGTTTTTTTTGTTTAACCTTTTACTCTTCAGCTGGTTAAGGTGTTGCTGTAGACACACTTTCTGGCCTGTAAATAGCTTCATGTTTTTAAAAATTATTTTGCATTACTTACTACTACTGGAGTCTGACTTAATACTCCCAGTAGGTTAAAAATGGTGCCCAAAAGGTGTTTTTTAGATGCCCTGATTTAGCTTTAATAATATAATTGTTGTTGTCTTTGTCTAAATAGTGGTAGAACTCTGCATGCGTGTGCCTTCTTTTCCTTATGAAAGGATTCTGTTGTAAAGCTCTAGATGCCACTAAACACAGGTATTTTTAAATGACATACCATTCATTACTTGATCACAGTTGTTTCTCATGTGTAATGTCTTTTGACTCAAACTGAACTGAATATGTCCATTTGGAAAATACCATTTATATTTGCCTCAACAATAAATTTCATTCAACAAGTTACACTCAAAAAGTTTTAAGAAAAATTAGACTTCAATATATGAAGAAATTGAATCTTTTCCTTACGTCTACAGATAAAAAGAAAAATCCTCTTTTTAGAGAGCTTTAGGCCATTCTAAGCTTGTACTTACGTATCATTTAATGAAAAAAAATTAGATATATTAAAGCCTATAGTAATAGCGATGTTACAACCTATGGACAACTCTCTTCCCTTTTGATATGGTAAAACACCTTTGAACATTGTAAATGAGAATCTCTGTATAGCTAAGAGTTGTTATAATGGAGACAATGCCCTTTCCTTTGTTTAGAAATGCTGTGTATTGCATTTGACCATAGAAATCAGGCTGGGACTACAAGTGGATATTTTAGGGAAAAGATGATTTTTGCTATTACTCTTCCACAAATATCAACAGCATTATATGTTATTTCAACTTTAATTACATTCCTTTGGGTCTTGAGCTTTGATGCTTCCAGAGTCAACCATTAAATATACCTAGGAAGGGTCTATCTTGAGTCATTATCAGCTACTATATTTTGGTTATATATCTGAATCAGACAGGTTTAGTTTTTAAACCTGAGTCAGCACATATTAGCTGAATGATTATGGGTAAATTAATCTCCTTATGCCTCAGTTTGTTATCTTTAAAATGGAGGAAATGATATCTCTTTCCTTTGGGAGTTGTTGGAATGATTAATGTAAAAATTAAATATATAGTGCTTTACAGAGTGCCCAACATTTTGTTACTTTTAAATAAAAAAGTTTAATAATAATCACAATATCATTATATAACATCTTAATGTAAAGCTCTAGATGCCACTAAACACAGGTATTTTTAAATGACATACCATTCATTACTTGATCACAGTTGTTTCTCATGTGTAATGTCTTTTGACTCAAACTGAACTGAATATGTCCATTTGGAAAATACCATTTATATTTGCCTCAACAATAAATTTCATTCAACAAGTTACACTCAAAAAGTTTTAAGAAAAATTAGACTTCAATATATGAAGAAATTGAATCTTTTCCTTACGTCTACAGATAAAAAGAAAAATCCTCTTTTTAGAGAGCTTTAGGCCATTCTAAGCTTGTACTTACGTATCATTTAATGAAAAAAAATTAGATATATTAAAGCCTATAGTAATAGCGATGTTACAACCTATGGACAACTCTCTTCCCTTTTGATATGGTAAAACACCTTTGAACATTGTAAATGAGAATCTCTGTATAGCTAAGAGTTGTTATAATGGAGACAATGCCCTTTCCTTTGTTTAGAAATGCTGTGTATTGCATTTGACCATAGAAATCAGGCTGGGACTACAAGTGGATATTTTAGGGAAAAGATGATTTTTGCTATTACTCTTCCACAAATATCAACAGCATTATATGTTATTTCAACTTTAATTACATTCCTTTGGGTCTTGAGCTTTGATGCTTCCAGAGTCAACCATTAAATATACCTAGGAAGGGTCTATCTTGAGTCATTATCAGCTACTATATTTTGGTTATATATCTGAATCAGACAGGTTTAGTTTTTAAACCTGAGTCAGCACATATTAGCTGAATGATTATGGGTAAATTAATCTCCTTATGCCTCAGTTTGTTATCTTTAAAATGGAGGAAATGATATCTCTTTCCTTTGGGAGTTGTTGGAATGATTAATGTAAAAATTAAATATATAGTGCTTTACAGAGTGCCCAACATTTTGTTACTTTTAAATAAAAAAGTTTAATAATAATCACAATATCATTATATAACATCTTACAGTTCTGGAACTTACTAGATTTTGGCAAAACCTTTCTTGTGGTTATTGAGGGCATTGGAGCTCCAGAAATCTAAGTGTTTTGCCCACTAGTACTCATAGGTAAGTAGTTGAGGCAGATTCGGATCTTTTGATTTCAAGTCCTGTGACAGAATAGGACATAAATGGCTGTTATTTCCTTGGGAGAGCTTGAAATAACATCTGAAGGTAAAATTTCAAGTGACAGAATATAGGTGGGAGGGGGCAGGGGGCTGGGGCAGTTCTATAAGATAAAGAAATTTGAACTTCAGAACACAATTCCTGCGTTCTAACTGGGGTCCTTCCACTCACAGGCTGCTGCCCACTACTGGTCAGTCTTGTTACTCATAAACTGAATCTAATTATACATAGTTCTGCATATCTCACCGGTGTGGCCGAGGTGGTTCAGAGAGCTTACTGCCCTGTTCCTCCAGAGTAACACTCCTTTATGTCAACTTTGGGGGCCCCCCAATTCCTAGAAAATATATGTTAAAGCTTTGCAGTAAGTATTTGTACTCGGAACTGAGTGTCCCAGAATCCAAATACTTAACCACTTTGCAATACTGTCCCAATTTACATAAATTGGGAAAAGCAGAAAAATCCTTATTTCTAGATCCCATTAAATAGTATAGAATAATGCCTAGTCTAAGGGGGAAAGAGCTAGTTTATAGAAATCAATTTTATGTACTTTTTAAACAAATGTCTTCATTACTATTGCCAAAATAGTACCTTGGCAAGCTACCAGAAGCAATTCATCTCTCAAAGGTGACCTCAGCACTGCCCAGGAGTTCCCTAGACAGTAGGAACTTCTGACTCACAAAAAAATAGGCTTTACTCCCTGAAATAAGAATATTTTTCAAGCAAAAATGTTATTTACTTTTTAGTTAACGCACATGTGCATCTATATTCATGAAATGTGGAATGTGAGTGATGTAGAGCATGAAATTAAAGGCAGGAGTCTATTCCTCTTTTTTTATTATTTGCATGATTTTGAACAAACTATCTTTGGAGAAACCTAAGATTGCTTATATATGACCTCCTTGTTTGTCTGTTCACTCTGCTCAACTTATAAAAAAATTACTTACATTTTAAATGCACTCTCCCGCAAGGAAGAAATATATTCTATAGATGGGTATATAAATATATATGTTTATGTATATAAATATAGATATATAGAGATTAATTTATCTGTGGAATTAAGTGACTATAATAAAGAACTAATAATTGTGTCCTACTTTCAGCCTAGTCTATCAACATCTGTAGAAGCTCTTGGTGTTTTATGTTTGTGCTTTAAAATGAAAGGAATATGAACCTGTTAGACAGTTGAAGAGTCTGGTTAGGAGAACCTTCCTGTTTATGTGCGATTCTCTTGATATTTATAATCATCAAAAATGACTACCTGTTGTTGCACTTTCAGCCTGCCTTCCCTACCTGAATGTACATTTTGAAGAGTAATTTATTTTGTGAGTGGCCTAATGTATTTATGTTTTTCTTCCTTTTGTTTTGTTCTTTCTAGGTTTAGGGCTAGCCTTCAACCTGCAGCCTGCCTTAACGATCATTGGCAAATACTTCTATAAGAAACGACCCGTGGCGAATGGACTCGCCATGGCAGGAAGTCCTGTTTTCTTAAGTACATTGGCTCCTTTCAATCAGTTCCTTTTTAATACTTTTGGCTGGAAAGGAAGCTTCTTGATTTTGGGAGGTATACTGTTGAACGCCTGTGTGGCTGGGGCCCTCATGAGACCCATTGGACCCAAACAAACTACTATCAAGCCTCAAAATAAGGTTGTCATGAGAGCAGATGATTCAGATGTGCAAAAAAGCCATAAGAAGAAGTCACTATGGGACAAAATTAATAAATATTTAGATTTCTCCCTTTTTAAGCATAGGGGATTTCTGATATACTTATCTGGAAATGTCATTATGTTTCTAGGGTTTTTTGCCCCCATCATATTCTTGGCTCCTTATGCTAAAGACAAGGGAATCGATGAATATTCAGCAGCTTTCTTGCTGTCTGTTATGGCTTTTGTTGATATGTTTGCTAGGCCTTCTGTAGGATTTATCGCAAACTCCAAATTTATCCGACCCCGAATCCAGTACTTCTTCAGTTTGGCAGTCATGTTCAATGGCGTGTGTCATCTCCTGTGCCCGCTGGCAGAGGACTACACGAGCCTAGTGATATATGCTATATTTTTTGGCCTTGGATTTGGGAGTGTTAGCAGTGTCCTCTTCGAAACGCTCATGGACCTTGTCGGTGCACAAAGGTTTTCCAGTGCAGTGGGACTCGTCACCATTGTGGAATGTTGTCCAGTTCTTCTTGGCCCTCCTCTTGCTGGTAAGGGTAATTTCCATCAAGGACAGCAAAAAGTGTAAAATTGGTAGGCATTCACCAGGATCTTCCTGGTAGTGCATAATGGGGTCTGTTAAAATACATACCAATATCCTGAAAGACTGGGTATATTAGGTTTTATTATATAATTTACAATCTCATATTTAGTCCATTTTAGACATAAATTTATTTCAGAGCCTGGACCTATGAACTTAAAAATTTAAATGAGATAATTAGCAGCATAGTTTTTAGGTTTTTACCCATATCAGTTACTTGGTGCTTTTAATCATAAAAATAAAGTGACTCTTTTTTTTAAATCATTGGTGAACAGACTTCTGTTTATATTAAAATGAGTCAATAATATAAAAGAATGTTCTCAGGAGGTCAGAATCTATTTTATTAGTGGAATACATTGGCTGTATTAATAAGGAACCTGTTACATGCTTAAGGAAGGATTAGTTTTATAGTATCACGAATAGGAATATGTGAATATCTGTATGTTTTGTGTATTTATATATATATATATATATATATATATAAATGGGTTCTGTGTATGTTTCTAATGCAAGAATGAAGAGAAATTCAAGGTCATTTTTTGATCAGCTACTTAGATTCCATATTTGTAAATTATAAAGCTTACCTTTAGATTTTAAAATTTGAAATGTTTTCAGTCATGCCTATGAAAGTATCTATACTAAATTACCCAGTAACAAGACTGGTAAGGACACATGCATAAGCTCATTTTTGAAGATAAGGCTTTGTTTAGTCTTTGACTTTAATGTCATAAGTATTAAGTGCTTTTGCAGTCCAGTCTTTTCCAGTAACCATTGAACATTGTTTTGGTTAATACTAAACTTAGATTGCTGGAACTCTTGTCCTGCTCCCTGGTGGTCACAGTAACTGCCTGGCTAAATGTAAATGTTTACATGCCTTTAAGTCAGTTTTTAAACTGTTTCCTACATGTCGCCAAGGAATTATTTTGAAAAGTGGGAAAATTTATGTTTACTTTGTTAGTCTTAAGTCATCATTGACCTTTCTCACCTTTTGTTTTTTCATTTGGTCAGAAATGAGTGCAGTCGTTGAGTTTTCTGTCCACCAGGGTGATAGCCCTGTCAACGTGGATGTACCATGGCTGCAAAATAATTTTCCATTAAAAGTGAAAGCCCCAGAGGGTCTCATTTATCAGCCAATTGATTTTGATATATAAGACAAGGACAACTGGCCTATCTTTTCAAACAGAATTTGTTTTGCCAAGTGGGTTTTAGAAGCCTATTCATGAGCAATAAAATTCCAAGTATCAATAGAGAAAATTGTATTTCACCAACCATAGGGGGATGAAAACAAATTGAGTCGGGTCAACAGAGTGAATGGGCTCTAAGGATTGATATGAAGGAATCCAATTTGGCCAACTCAACCTGTGCTGAGAGTCTATATTAATGATATTTACATCAGTTTCAGTGTCCCTCAATGCTTACATGCTAATGTTTCAAACCATTGTACCTGCAGTGACAATGGCAATAATTGGTCTGGGGAACCTCGTTGAAGTTCTCAGGCTGTAGACAGCTGTAATACATCCATTGTTGTCATCCTGTTTCTGCCTCCTGCTACCCTTGACACTCCTTGACTTTTAGACTGGCTTCTCTTCTCTAGCATTAGGTCACTGCTAGAATGGCATCTGGCAGAAAGTAGGCACCCAGTGAGCACTTCTGAATGAATGGATATTGTTGTTATTCTTAGACAGTTGCTGATGCTGATGATCTTGTTAGTAGAACAGTGTAATATAGGTACAGTGTGATTTTTAGTTTTGTTTCAGCCCATACTTTCACTGCTGCACTCATGAAAGCTAAAGCTTTAGTTGTAGAAATCATATGTGGTTTCTTGATGATGCTAAAAAATTCCCAAAGCATGTAGCAAATACATTGATATGGCAGCCAAAATGATATTAACTCTGATGGGGCCATACACCTACTGGTTAAGTATTTAGAAGTGTAACAATCACTGTTTGACTAGAAATGTTTGACTCCAGTTTGAAGGGAAAATTGGATTATGCAATTTTTGTTATGTTTATGGATGTGTCATACTGAATCAAACAATCCTATTCCACCATTTACCTAATTAAAACAGAGAACTTTGCTCACATAGATCATTTCACAAGTAGCTAAATTGAATACTTAGCCACTGACTAGATGCTAGTCAGAATGATAGACATTCTGACTAAACAGACAAATCTATAACAGAATCACCTGGAATAGGCATGTGATTAAATAATACAGATTTGTGTACACTACATCTTGCTGATAATAATTATTGTAAAGAATTAGATGCCTGCAGAAGCAAGAGGCAAAGCTAAGCATAGAGTGAAACATTTTCAAAAGTCAGTAAACCTTCAGATCATACAGCAGCAAGCTAGTTTTTAAGTGTTCCTGATAATCAAATGGAATAAGTACTTCCTGATTGGTTTGGCCCTTATAATCTAGATTGAGATAATGTAAAAAATTGTGATTAGCCCGTAAAGTGACATGACACTTAACCAAGAGGTCTGGTGAAGCCATTTTGTAGAGTAGTTAAGAATATGGGATTCAGACAGACCTTGATTAGAGTTCATATTCTGCCACTCATTCACAAGGTAACCATGGTCAAATTATAAGGATTAAATGAGATTATTAGAAATAAAGTGTTTAGCTAGTGCTGGGCACAGAGAAACCATTTAGTAAATTTTGCCCTGTCAGGAACCTTATAAAAAGCCTTTGAGTCTGTCCTAAATAATGTAGTTTTCCCTTTATTGGTAAGTTGTGAAGCGTGGAAATAATGAAGCAATTAAAATGTATATATGTAAATGAATAGATATATCTAATTCTACATATATAGATACGAAAATGTATCTCACACATATGTGTATTTGTGAATGTATATACCTACTTTGCCTTAGTTGTACATTTTTATTCAAGGCAATAATTTTAAATTTAATATTCTGGTAATGTAGTTGCATGTGCCTATGCTTGCCTTTTCTGTGCATATAGAAATCATAGTTTAGATTTTTTTTCTTTGTTAAAGTCTCATTTGATATTAAGTTAAATAGGAACTAGGTACACACTTTGTGGGAGACTTTATTTGAATATTTTATCATTTTATGGCTATTTTACTATGCTATCTTAAAAGATGTTCTTTGTCTCTTAGGCAAATTGGTGGATGAAACTGGACAATATAAATACATGTATCTGGCCTGTGGATCTATTGTGTTCATATCAAGCGTTTGGCTGCTTATTGGCAATGCTATAAACTATAGATTGCTGGCCAAAGAAAAGAATTTGGAACAAGCGAAGAAGAAAATGAACAAAACTGAGTGCAAAGAATCTGAACCGTTGAACAAATCTGAACATCATGATGATAATGTCCAAAATATGAGACCAAGGAGTAGTCTTTCAGAGAGAGAAACTAATATTTAGCAAGAGTCACATCGCTGATCTCAGTGTTTATGACTTTCTTATGAGTATTTTTTTTTCCAAAATATTGGAAAGGTTTTTAATTGAGATGTGGAGTCATCATTAAGGATGGAGATGAGATTTTCCTCAGTGGCAAATGTTAAATAAGTTTGCTTTTTAAAATTTATCTGGGCAGTTAAATTTTGAGACTATGCATATAAAGAATCCATGCAATGGGTTTATTACCATACATGACTCCGCTTGTGGTGATTAAAATCATTTTTAGTCTTCCAGTGAGTCCAGATTTAATTACAGAGATCTAAATCCCTTATCTCTGGTTTAAGTAGTAGAAGGAGTATGTTTAACCCCATAAGAAAGCCCTCTCCATATTTCATTTTTTATTTGATATTTAAATATAAAATGGAAATGAAGGAAAATAAATTTTTCCCTTTTGCATGTATGTGTGCCCAAAACACACACACATTCTCACATACTCACATGCACACAGAGCATCTGGAAAACAAAAGACAAATATGTCAAAAAATATTTACCACTGTACTTTTCATTTTACTGTAAATCCATGGAGAAAATAGAAATGTGTATCTGCATACTACTTTATAAGTGGATTTTATAAAGATAAGAACATGGGTGAAGATTAAGATGATCTTAATTTGAAAATGTAACTAACTGTTGTAAAAAGAACATTTCCATATACCAAGTAAGTCTGAAAAAAAGAAAAAAACTCCATTTTAGACTATTATCTCTGAGCACTGTTATGTTTGATCAATCCATGAACATGATTTCTTTAAGGGGGGCCATTAGTACCTGGTGCTAGAGAACAAAGCCCTCAAATAATTTTCAAAATTCTTACCTAATATGTAAATCAAATTAAAAGCCTAAATGACTCCTAGCAATGAGCTATATGCATTGATTTTTAAAAGATTTTAGTTAGTAATCCAGAAAGTAATACCAGGGACTTCTTTTAATCAGAACTCAGTCCAGACTCATTGTCACACTGAGACATCATAGTGGAATCAACCACAATCCTGATTGGCAGGCTTACAAGTAGGCCTAATTCTAACTTTTCACAGCTCATAGCCAGTGATCAGAGGATTATTGTTATAAGTAATCCAAATGAGTAAAGCTTACTAAAAGTAGGAGGTGCTTATAATGAGCCTTCTATGCTCCCTCATTTTCCTCTCCTCCCCAAAATGCAAAAGCAAAAAGCAAACCCCAGTAGGCGTTTTACTCAGCCACTAAAAATGCTTCATATTATACGAATACCAGCACTTGAAGAGTCTGCCCTCTACTGGTTAGACTTCCTGCTTCCTGTGAATACAACTAAACCAGGAAATGAGAAATAAACACTTGTAAACTGGAAGCTGTGTGTGACGTGGTATACACTTGGGAAGTGTAGGTATGGTTTATAATACATTAGCAAGAAGTTTTCTATGTTGCAGCCCAGGTTAATTGAGCAGTTTCTCATTTTCATAATTATGTGAAAACACCTAGAATCTGAATCACTCTTGAATCTAGAGGCATATGATAGTTCTGTGTGTTCAAAACCATTTTGAGTGATAAAGTATTTTTAAATAAGAAATACTGTGTGCATTATGGCTCGATTTGTGAGTTTTTACACCTATACATCAGAGGTTTAAGATCGTGATTAATGAAAAGCATTTAGTGCTTGATTACTGAAGTGATGTCCCTCTTTAAGATATCAAAAGGAATTTTTTTTATTGCAGTAGAGGCCAGTGCTCTTCATATTTCCTAGAAAATTATACCTGAATACCAAGCTTTTGTGATGTTTAACATTAGGGAATTGATTTGTAAAATTTATGCACTGTTTAAGCATGTGGCTCATCCATAGGAAGCTATATAAAATTTCATTTTTCATTTAACATTCCCTTTTTTAAATTTGAAGAGGTATTTGCATTTTTTAAATATTAGATAAAACAATATGTGCCAAACCATAGGTGAACAAATCAAGAAAAATGTGGCAGTATTGGCTGTTTTTAATTTAATTTCACCCAATGTTCAGTCTTGAATGAGCTGTTTTCATTATTAGTGTTTTTGTATCCATCCGTAACTCATCACAAGAAATGTGGCATCATAAATTATGTACTAAGTCTCCAATCTTAAACATTTCCAGAAAATGTACTGAATTCTTTGAAAATACATATTTAAATTAATATAGCTATCAGACCCCAGGAGGAAATTAAACAACAAAGTAATTTTCAAGGGGCGTTAGGACTAAGGCTGCAGTCCCTTTTAACACATGCTGGTAGAGACACGCTGGTGGATACGTTCCAGTGACTCCTTCCATAGAAGGACATTTATTTTCTCGTGAGTTTCTTGTTAAGTCAAAACTAATTTGTATTTGTTCTTTTGCTCTCTGGTCATCTTCATTAACTTTTCATTTCTAACACTGATTATCTTAAATTATTAAAAAATAAAAGGGAAGTGAAATTGCACATTCAAAGCACATGAGGAGACGTATACAGCAATGCCTGGCATAGCACTATACAAAGCTACAGATCACACACATAATTCCCATACATAAATGTTGAAAATTAAATTAGAACACACTTGAAACAGTGTTGTAGGCCCACATATGGTATTCAAAATTGTTCCAAGGGAAAATTAATTTTCTAGGTGTTCACTTTTCCTTGCACTTGTTAGAATATATGCTATTTGAACAGAATCTTTCAAAGGTTGAGAAGAAATTATCAGCCTAGAACACTAATTATTATGTAGTCACATAAATGGAGGAGGAAGTACAGTTAACATCTGTGTCTGCAACAATTGGTGTAGAACATATTTCTTCCCCAAGGGACTAACAGGTTTTCGATGTTCAAGAAATCATGAGTAAGATCAGAACATACCATCAATATCCCTTTTAGTCCCATTCCTCCATTATGGAATTGTACAGAAGGAAGATTATCATAAACAAGGGTACTGAAATAATTTGTGATCACTGGCTAGTGTATTTTTCTGTTTGTGATGAATAAGCCCCCAGTATGTCTCACCATTTAACCTTAAATATGCCTACACTGGTTAATGAACAGAATATTGGGTATAGACTTGTCCTGGCCTATTATTCCCACCCTCTTTTCCGATCCTTTTTGGATTCAGTCAACACACTGAGAGGCAGTGGATCAGGCTGTTAGTGTATGTCACCTTGGAGACTATGTTTTCTCAGTGTAAACTCACGGCTCATCAGTTTCATTCACCCACTTTATCTCATACCACCCCCACCCCAGACACTAGGAAGTAAGTAAAATAACTAGGTTTGATATATTTGACTATGCACTTTTAAAAAATTGTTATTTTTTTACTCATTTTTCTCTGGCTGCACATGACAATCAAGTTTGAAAAAAAAAATGGATGATGTAAATGTCAGTTTTTATATTGAGGTTGTAGGATGTAGTGATATCCTTAACCAGTTAGTTGGAATATTTCCCATCCAAAAACACCTCAAAAAAAAAGCTCTCATTTGTATCATGTTTCAGATTTTTAATAAAATACAAAGTCATGATTGTTAGGCTCAATTTAATGCAAAAGGAGAAGGGAACTAATATTTATGTGTCATGTATTTTGCCTACATACTACTTTTTGATATTCAAACCAATCGTGTGGAGGCTGTTGGCCTCATGTAATAATTGAAACAAAACAAAAAACGCATGCAAAGAAGTTCAGCGAATTATCCAAAGTTAAAAGCTAGTGTGTGGGAGAACCAGAACAAAAACTCAGGTTTATATAAAAACAGGAAAAACCCCTGGGGTATCACTACCATGTTGCTTCCCTGTAGAAACTGTAGAAGCGAAAGTAGATAAAATACAGATATGAAAAAATTAAACCCTATATGGTGAATCAATTAGGCTTAATAGCAATTTGCATTGATTTATTCAGTGTTTATTAATGACTGCATTTTCTGTAACCTGAATATATAATTTCAGGTTGCCTGCTTTTCTAGCCAATGCAAATTATCCCATCTAATGGTAATGATTATATAATAGCCATGATTGTTTTAATGTGACTTTTTCATAAGAATAACGATATGCTTATATGACTCAGGCCTAATGTGTTTTCCCTGAGGTTGGATTTAGAAGAAAAATGTTATTTTCTTTATGGATAAGTAATTCCCATTTTGGTTGCTACGGATTATGATTCAAAATAAAAAGTACTTACTATGAAACTTTATATTCGTAACTATAATGAGTCCCATATAGAGGATTGTCCCAAACTACCACAAATGTTTTTAAAGTTTGTGAGATACAAATGCTTTGGTTCATCTGTACAATATATATTAACTTTCATCATTTAATACAAACTCCCCCTACACCCTAACTCATTTTTCACGTGTCCAGAGCATCTGTATTTCCATCCTCCTTTCTGTCCACTTGTTGTATAGAGGCAACACATGCCACTGCCTTTGTCCTGTCCCTCTAGACTTGTCACATCCTTAGAATATTGTTCTCCTTAGCTCTGTTTCAGAATGTACACTTCTAATGTTTTATGTGTATCACAGAGTCACTCGTGCTGCATCTGGCCTTATTTGTGATTTGCAGGAATGGCTGTATTCCTGGAGTCAACCCTATATACTCTGGGCCACCACCACTCATCTTCACAAACAAGGGAACCCGTGTTACTTTAGGATCAATTGAGGTTTCCTAGACAAGGAAGCGTGCTTATATTCTACAAGACTGTTTATTATTATGAGTCTTCCTTATGCATGATAAATATACAATTGAATATGATTTTTAAGAATATAGAAAAATTGATCTTCCTGTCATTGGCACTTGCTATCTGTGGATCTTTCTAATTTTCTTGACGTATCACAACTTGGAGAAACAAAGCTTACCCATCACAGCATAGCACCATTACAAACCCTCCTGTAGGCTCTTCCAGTGTGGTGGCATCATATCAACTAGATTCCTTACCACAACAATTCACAGTACCAAAGAGCATTAAAATGACAGATAAAAAGTGAAATTACAGTCTTTATTCATCTCACTTTTTTTTTTTTTTTGGTTTTGATTTCTGCATACCCATGTGCATGGTCTCATGTTTGAGAATGCACTTAAAAACTAGAAGGCCAATTATCAATAATTATAATGCTTGTATAACCAGAATTATAAACTCTCCTTGTTGACAACTGAAAATAAATAATTTGCTGAGCTCACTTCTTTTTTGCAGTTCAGATTTTCTCTTCTTTGCAATCAACTGTCCACTGAGTTTCTCTACAAGGTGCTGTGATCTGTGATTTATTTTAGTCTTCTCTCTCCTACTGCTTTTCACTTTCATTTATTGCAGTTCATGAAAGAAGTACAGCATTGAGAATCACAATTTTAGGTCTCTGCCTTAAGTGGAAAAATAATATTGCAAAAAAGAATTTTTGAGTTTAGTGGAGCATGTGGGAATATTTTTAGACCAAACTGTTTTTCCCACCCCAATCCTGTGCTTTACCTCCTACCTTCCTTTTTTTTTCTTTTTTTCCTATAATTATTTTTAAAAAATATTTCCCTCTCATTGTTTTCACAAAGTCTAGGTCTTCTTCAAAATTTTTTCATCTAATTATGGACATTCTTAGCACAGAATTTTTGCTTCTTTAGCAGGCTTTCTTATGCTTCAATTTGCATGAGCTCCATGATTTTCACTCTTCATACATAAATGTTAATAAGATTAGTAATATTCAGGAGTATTTTCTTAGGCAGTTATTCCATGATCATAAATTCAATGCCATTTCAGCAAATATTTTTTCTTCACATGGCAAAATAAGCTTTTTTGTTTCCTTATTTTTAACTCAAACATGTCAAGGTAAGTTAGAAAACCTGTGGATGAGAACACTCATACTCAATATTCTATTAGGGCTTAAGTTGATAAATGCTGTTCAGATGAACAGAATAGTGGGATTCTTATGTGAATTTCAGGGTGAGATGTTAAAACATATTCTGACTAAGCCTTTCATTCTGGATTTGTTGTTTTTCGTATTCATCTAAAATGTTTTTTAAGTTAGACCTACCTTATACAGCTTGGTCATTAGAGTAAAAATTTTGACATACTACTTAATAGACTTTATTTTTCTACCATATGCTTTCTATTTTTAACTAAAGAATATTTCTGAATTTAGGGAGAAAGGACATGTGAATTAAAATGTTTGTTTTCTAAGCGTTAGATGTAATTGCAATTTAACTTGTATTGCATTTTGTTTCTGATATATTTGTGTATCAAAAGATAGACTTAAATAATTCATTTGAGCATCTCAAACATCTACATTAGGTTTGTTAGATACCCACATTTTTACAGAATAAGACTAGAACAGGTTAGGGGTTTTGCCTAAACATGTATCTGTCCTTCGAGTAAATACAGGGTTGGAAATTGTACCTAGGTCTTTTGACCCCTAACCCATTTTTTTCTCCATTTCAGTACATAAACCATCCTATTTGTAATCATGAACTTTATAGAGTGAATACATATTTTCCTGGAAACACTCTAACCCTACTTGATAAAATCTTTATTGTCAAAATGAATATATTTCTCCTAACTGAATCATACTTTGCAGAATCATACTTGTAAACTTAATTTGAAGAATAATTGCTGATTTCCACAGCAGGTAATTCCAAGTTGAACCTAATAACTAGTAGGATTTTGCACAATATATGTTGCTGTAGCAATATCTAAGTCATTTAAAAAAATACCAATAATGTGTTTATAGAATCCATGTGACAGTATTCCATTAATTCCATTTTTTTGCCTATGCTTATATTTTATTTTAGAAGCATCATTTACTTGTTTCCTAGAATAATGCCAGAGTACAGAACACACAGTACAAGTTTTTTACATTATTAAGTCATATGCAAGAAATGATGCCATCATATAACCTTAAGGAGAACACCCCCAAAATATTTCTTGATCCTAAGAAACTGAAGATGGTTAAAATTGTTAGGATAAGATCTAGCTAAAAAACTCTTGCTTGTTAAAAGGTCATTCTATGTAATTAACACTGAAACCTGTAACAGGTGCCTGGCAACAGGAAAACTAGAGTTTCGTCTATCTTAGAGATACCATCTACCTCCATCCCCATCTTATTGAGATATTCTATCTGGATTTATCCCTTTAGATTCCCTTCCAGAAAAGACAACAAGTCACTTCTAAATAAAAGATCCCTGGTGAAGGAAAGTAGGTGCCTGTAGGCATTCACTCTGTAAAAAGTGTAAAAGCAGTAATCTATTCAGTATTTGTTGGCTTAGTTCATCAAGGATATTTACCCGAAGAAAACACCTTAATAAAAGTTTGGATAAACTCATGCATCACAGTAAAATCTTCAGTGAACAGGGTCCTAAACCCATTGGCAGTCGGTGATGTTTGGTTAGACTCAGCCCAGGTGGCAATGCCCTTACTGTCTCTGTCACGCGTTGTGGCAAGCCCTAGTGGCGTGAGTGTATCAGCGAAATATAAGGTCCCTTTGTGATGATATAGGTGAGGTTGCACGTTACTTAAATATGTGTTGACTAAAGAAGTTACCATGTTGAAGATGGAGGAGCAGGACCTTTCCAAATATTTGCTAAAATTTACATTTGAATTGAAACTTTTTATTTAAAAGCCCTTCCCTCCAAAGATTTTAGACGTGTGTGTAGGTTAATATTTCCTAGAATGAACTATTCCCCATTTGGGGGGAATTTTTGAAAACATTTTATTTACTACTAAGACTGATTTGATAAGTCTGTTTTATCCCATTATTACATTTGGGAAAATGTCAAAAGTCAGATTATTGTGATAAAAGTTACACATGATGACAGATTGCTAACAAGACATATATAAGACATTCCTTGGCAATAGCCACACCTAGCTACTTTTTCCAAGAATTATTCAGGGATTGGATTGGGAGGTAGAATTATTTTTAAATATAATTATATCTTAGGCTATATTTTTACAATTTTTAAGTGAAAAAAAATCTACATATAGTTGCTTTGTTCCATAGGCATCTTAAAGACCAAGTGATCATCCTATCACGATGTACCAGCTATGATCGCTGTGATAGTGAAATAAAGACCAGGGTGGCTCTGCTTAACACTAAGCTGATCCAGTTAGTTGTTTTTACATGTACATATTTCATTTTTCAAAATATCAAATTAAGGTATAAACCAGTTGAAATGCCTGTCCAAGTTTGAAAATACAAAAACCCTCTTCTTTTTGCCTTCTTACAGATGAATGTACTTAAAGTGATTGTGATTTAGTCTTGGAATATCTATTTCTGTAAGTTTTCCACATATGCTCTGAACTTGGCAATAAAACATGGAAAAATTTAACTGAAAAGGAAAGATCTGCAATTTTCATATGAGTACATGTTTTGTTTTAATGAACCATAAGTAGATTTATTTAAATCAGGAATATATTATATTGATCATTTTAAAAGTATATTCAGTTCAATATGTTCCTACTTTACTTTTAAGCAAACTTGTTTGACTACTGAATCATTTACCACTTACCTTTAATTTATGCTGTCTGTGTTGTAGTTTCTAAGTTTCACTACATAACTAATTTGAAACCAAATATCGAATTCCTCAATGGGAATACATATTGTGCCTGTGGTTTTGAATGTATTGTCAAGTTCATCTCTTTCTTACTAGACTGTGAGCTCCTTGTGGACAAGGACATAGTATTAGTTTATGGTAACAGCTTTAATGCTTGGCAAAGTGCCAAGCAGAGAATAATTCTTTTATTGAATTCTACAGTATTCTGTGACACAGGTTGAATGTATATTAGAGGAGTTTGCTGGCTAGTTTTCAAATTACAAAGTAGAAAACAAACACCTGTCGTATTTTCTTTATCTTAAAATTTAAAGATCTTGAACATTTCAATTTTATATTGTCAGTAAACATTCTATGCAAATGTTGAAATATGCAGCAGCTGAACTTTATGGTGCATATTAACTAGTTTTATTTTCTGTACAGAATCAGAAATGCTAGTTAGAATTCCTGGAAATAAATGTTAACAATCATTTTATTGACCGAAGGTGCTACTTATTTTCCAATTGACATTCATCACGAGCTCTCCTGTCTGCTAAGATTTCTTTCTTTTTTTTGGCAGGAGCAGGCAGGCAGAGGAGTACCAAAAAAATTAGAATATTCTTTTTTCTGAATTATGCAGTTTAGCACTGTATGTGTTCCTTTGTACTCTTATCATTGTATTTTAATTATCATTTCTTATTGCTCACTAATTTTTATTGCAAGCCTATGCTGTTTCTTAGGAAGTATATGCATATATATTTATATAATATGTAAGAAAAAAAACTGTACTGCTTGTTAAAGTGACAAATAAATGTTCATGTTAAATTTTGAAATCTACACTCCTTTTTTTTAAAGACCACTAAATGCTATTCTGTGCTGAGCTGATCAAAATATAATTTCCAACATCAGCTCAACTGTGAGGGCATTACGTTTTCTGAGTGGACGTAACTGAATAATGTCAGTGAAAGTCAGACACAGCCAAAAGACAAGCCATTCCTAAGGACTGAAGTGAAAGTCTACTGCTGGTTCTTGTTTTTATTTTATTTTTATCAGTATGCAGTTCAGTGGATTTACACAGAAGGAACCACACTCAGCTCAAAGAGAACATTAGCTATATGACAATCGCCCCTCAAACCACTTCCCAGCCTGCTATCCCTCCTTTAACTTTTTAAAAATATAGACTATTTCTTAGAGCAGTTTTAGGTTAACAGCAAAATTGTGTAGAAAGCACAGGTGCCTCATACACACCCTGTCCCTCACACGTATAGCCTTCCACACTAGCAAAATCCCTTACCATAGTGGTACACGTGCTACAACAGAACCTGCACTGAGACATCTCTGTGACCCAAAGCCTGAAGTTCACATGGGGGTTCAGCTGGGGTTGTATATTGTATGGGTTTGGACAAATTTATGATGACCTGTATCCGCATTTATATTACCATACCGAATAGTTTCATCGCCTTAAAAATCCTTTCTGCTCTGTTCCAGCAGCCACTAATTTATTCCTGTCTCCAGTGTTTTGCCTTTTCTTGAATGTCATGTATTTGGAATCATACTCTATGTAGCCTTTCAAAGTATGTAGCTTTCTTTCACTTAGTAACATATACATAAGATTTCTCCATACTTTTTCAAGGCTTGAGAGTCCATTTTTTTTGGAGCCAACTGATAGTCCATTGTCTGGATGCACCACGGTGTGTCCATCCACTTACTGAAGGACATCATGGCAGCTTCCAAGTTTTGGGAATTATGAAAAAGCTGCAATAAACATACACATGCAGGTTTTAGTGTGAACTGGATCATATGGTAAGAGTATGGTAGGTTTTATAGGAAACTGCCAAACTGTATTCCTAAATGGTTATCCCATTTGCACTCCCAAATGGCTATCCCGTTTGCACTCCCACCAGCAATGAATGGGAGTTCCCGCTGCTCCACATCCTCACCAGCATTTGTTGACTGTTCCAGACTTTGGCTATTCTAAAAGATGTACAGTGGTATCTCGTTCTGTCGGCATTTTCCTGATGACATATGATGTGAAGCATCCTTTCTCTTTGCCACATGTATATCATTGGTGGTGTGCCTGTTAAGGTTTTGGCCCATTTTTAAATTAGGTTTTTGTTTCTAATTGTTGGGTGTTAGGAGTTCTTTTGTATATTTTGATTAACAATCCTTTATCACATAAGTCTTTTGCAAATATTTTTTTCCCAATCTGTGGCTTGTCTTTTTGTGCTCTTGTCAGTCTTCCATAGAGCAGAAGTTTTTAATTTTAATAAGGTACAGCTTGTCAATTCTTTCTTTCATGGATTATGCCTTTTGTGTTGTGTCTCAAAAATCATTGCCAAACCTCAGTCATCTAAATTTTCTCCTATGTTATCTTCTAGGAGTTTTATAGTTTCACAGTTTTACTTAGACTATGATCCCATTTTGAGTTCATTTTTGCGAAGAGTGTAGGCTCTGTCCTGGATTCATTATTTTGTATGTGGATGTCTGTTCCTTTGTCAAAGATCATTTGACAATGTGGGTCTATTTCTGGACTCTCTCTTCTGATCCACTGATCTGTTTGTCTATTCTTTTGCCAATACCACACTGTCTTGATTGCTGCAGCCTTACAATAAGTCTTAAGTCTAAAAGATATCCACCTTTGTTACTCTCCGTCAGTATTGCGTCAGCTATTCTGAGGCTTTTCCTCTCCACATAAACTTTAGAATCAGTTTGTCAATATCCACAAAATATTGCTAGGATTTTGATTGGAGTACATTGAATCTGTAAATGAAATTGGGGAGAAATGCCTTTTGGCAATATGGACTCTTCCTCACCATCAATTTGGGATATCTTTCCATTTCTTTAGTCCTCCAGTTTTGTTCACCAGAGTTCTGTGGTTTTCCACATACAAATTTGCTACATATTTTGTTAGATTTACACCTAAATATTGTATTTCCTTGAGTGCTAGCAGAAATGGCATTGTATTTTAATTTCAAATTGTACTTGTTACTGGTATATAGGAAGGTAATTGACTTTTATATATTTAACCTGTATATCTGATAACCTTGCTATATGTGCTTAAAAGTTCCAAGAGTGTTTTTGTTGATTCTTTTCAAACTTTCTCATAGACAAGCATATCACCTGCAAACTGAGACAGTTTTGTTCTTCTTTCCCAATTTTCACATCTTTTATTTCCTTTTCTTGTCTCTTCTTCCTTGAGCTGTGTGTCACTGGAAGTATAATGTTTAACCCCGAAGTGTTTGGGGATTTTCCAGATATCCTTCTATTATTGATTCCTTAATACCCTTGATGTCTGAGAACAGACATTTCATGCTTTCTATTATTTTAAATTTATAAAGGTATGTTTTACGGCCCAGTATGTGGTCCATGTTTATGAATATACCATGTAAACTTGATAAGAAAGTGTATTCTGTGGTTGTTGGATGAAGCCGTCTATAGATGTCAGTTACACCCAGTTAGTTGTTTGATAGTGTTGTTGAGTGTAATATGTCCTTACTGATTATCTGCCTCCTGGATCTGTCCGCTTTTGATAGAGGATGTGTGAAGTGTCCAGCTATAATAGTGATTCATAGCTTCTCCTTGCAGTTCTGTCAATTTGGGCCTCACATATTTTGATGCTCTGTTGTTAGGCACGTACAAATTAAAGATTGTTTTGTGTTCTTGGAGAACTGACTCCCTTATCATTATGTAATGTCCTTCCATATCACTGATCACTTTCTTTGCTATAAGCAAAGTCTGCTTGCTCTGAAATTAATGTAGCTACTCCTACTTGTTGATTAATATTAGTATGTTATGTCTTTCTCCATTTACTTTTAATTTATATGCGTCTTTATATTTTAAGTGGTTTTCTTATTGACAGTATATACTTGGGTCTTGTTTCTTACAATCTTTGTATTTTAATTGGTGCATTTAGGCCATTGATGTTCAACATGATTACTGAACAGGTAGACAAATATCTACCATATTTGTTACTACTATGTGTTGCCCTTGTTCTTTGTTCCTATGTTTGTCTTCCACTCTTTTTCTGCCTTTTTTGCCTTCATTGAGCATTTTATGATTCCATTTTCTTTCTTTTCTTAGCATACTGTCTATACTTTTTTCTTTTTACTTCTTTTAGTGGTTGTCCTAGTGATTGCAAATTACATTTACACTAACCCAGTCGACTTTCAAATAGCATTATATCATTTCATGGGTAGTGCAAGTATCTCATAATAGCAAAGTAATCCTAATTCTGTCTTCTCATCCCTGTATCATTGCTGTAATTCATTTCACTCACACAGAAGCATATATATACTTATAAGCATACATAATTGAATACATTGTTGCTATTATTGTTTTGGACAACTATTATCTGTTAGATGAGTTAAGAGTAAGATAAAAATTTAAATTTACCACTTATTTCTTCTCCACTGCTCTTCCTTTCTTACTGCGAATCTGTGTTTCTGACCTATATCATTTTCGTTTTCTCTAAAGAACTTCTTTTAACATCACCTTTAAAAGCAGGGAAATTCTCTCAATTTTTATCATAAAAAGTTTTTATTTCACATCCAGTTTTTCAGGATAATTTTGTGGTGTACATAATTCTATGTTGGTGGACTCTATCTTTCAGCATTTTAAATATTTCATCCCACTCTATTCCTGCATGCATGGCTTCTGAAGTGAAATTGGATGTAATTCTTATCTTTGCTCCTCTATACGTAAGGTTTTTCTGTTTTGTCTAGATTCTTTCAGGATTTTTTTTCTTTTCGTTACTTTTCTGTAATTTGAAAGCAATATGCCCAGGTATGGTTTTTTTTTTAACATATTTACCTCGTGTTTTTGGAGATTACTGAATCTGTTGTTTGCTTCAGTTGAGGAAATCCTCAGTCATTATTATTTTAAATATTTGGATCATTTCTCTCTTCTCCTTATAACCCCATTATGCATATGTTTCCTTTGTAGTAACCCCACAGTTCTTTTTGTTTTGTTTCAGTCTTCTATCTCTGCTTTTCAGTTTTGGAGGTTTCTACTGAGATATCAGGCTCACAGATTTTTTTTCCCTCTGCTGTGTCCATTGACTAATAAGCCATCAAAGCTTTTCTTCATTTCTGTTCCAGTGTTTTTGATCTCTAGCATATCTTTTTGGTTCTTTTTTAGAATTTCTGTCTTCTGCTTAGATTGCCCATCTGTTTTTGAATACTGTGTACTTTGTCCATTAAAGCTCTTAGCATAGATGTTTTTAAGTCCTGGTCTGATATTTTCAACATCCTTGCCATAAATTAGTCTGGCAAAAAAAAAAAAAAAAGGTTTTTTGCCTTTTAGTATGTCTTGTAATTTTTCTTCCCACTGATTGCCAGATACAATGTACTGGGTTAAAGGAACTGCTTAAGTAAACTTTCCGTAATGTTGTGGTAAATTGTGGAGGGGGGTGGTAAGGTACAGTAAGGTGTGAAGATTTGTATAGTCCTGTGATTAGATCTCAGTTCTTTAGTGAATCTACCCCACACTGAGTTCACAAATACTTCTTTATGTGAGGATGGCTAGAGTGGGCTGGGCTTAGATGTTTCCCTTCCAACATGTGGAAGGCTAGAGTTGACTTCTCCAACTTCCTCCAGCTGGAGTTGGATACTTCCCTTCCCCCAACTCAATTAGTCTCTGATAAAACCCCAGCGGGTCCGGCTCTGGTTAAATAGTTTCTTCTGAGGATAGACCTTGTTAAGAACAGAATGCTCTGGCATTTTACAAAAGGGTTCTTTTTCCTTCCCCCTGCCAGAAGCATGAGGGAATTTTTCCCAGTTACACACCGTGAGGACCTCTTAAAGCTCCTGAAGGTAAAACCAAAAAGTATAGGGCT